ATACCCATAGACTCACACAGAGACCCAAAGACTCACACAGAGAACCATAGACTCACTCAGAGACCCAAAGACTCACACAGAGAACCATAGACTCACACAGAGACCCATAGACTCACACAGAGACCCAAAGACTCACACAGAGACCCAAAGACTCACACAGATACCCATAGACTCACACAGGGACCCAAAGACTCACACAGAGACCCAAAGATTCACACAGAGACCCAAAGACTCACACAGAGACCCAAAGGCTCACACAGAGACCCATAGACTCACACAGAGACCCATAGACTCACACAGAGACCCAGATACTCACACAGAGACCCATAGACTCACACAGAGAACCACAGACTCACACAGAGACCCATAGACTCACTCAGAGACCCAAAGACTCACACAGAGAACCATAGACTCACACAGAGACCCATAGACTCACACAGAGACCCAAAGACTCACACAGAGACCCAAAGACTCACACAGATACCCATAGACTCACACAGAGACCCAAAGACTCACACAGAGACCCATAGACTCACACAGAGACCCAAAGACTCACACAGAGACCCATAGACTCACACAGAGACCCAAAGGCTCACACAGAGACCCATAGACTCACACAGAGACCCATATACTCACACAGAGACCCATATACTCACACAGAGACCCAGATACTCACACAGATACCCATAGACTCACACAGAGACCTACAGACTCACACAGAGACCCAAAGACTCACACGGAGACCCATAGACTCACACAGAGACCCATAGACTCACTCAGAGACCCAAAGACTCACACCCAAAGAATCACACAGAGACCCATAGACTCACACAGAGACCCATAGACTCACACAGAGACCCATAGACTCACACAGAGAACCATAGACTCACACAGAGACCCATAGACTCACACAGAGACCCATAGACTCACACAGAGACCCATAGACTCACACAGAGACCCAGATACTCACACAGATAACCATAGACTCACACAGAGACCCCTAGTTTGTTGTCCTTCCCCCGCACCCCCGATTTTAACGGTTGGCTATGTACGGTGCGAAAGAAGTTCCACATACATACAACATGCATGATTGCAGCTGCTGCTGTGTAATCCCAATCGAGTAATTATGCGGGTCATTTAAAATTTCTGGCAACTTTTGGAACGTGACGGCGATACACAGTGGCCTCTTCTCGCGATCGTCACGACCACGCCAGGTACTAACCAGGGTGCGGCCGCTAGAAATCCGAACCGCGAACCTCTCTGCGACGACCCGCGAAGTCGCCACACCGTTGGGCCACGTGACCCTCCCGATGGATGATGACGTCGTGAGAGATGGCCACGCGCTGGGGGATACCCTCATCCAGCAGCGGATGGATCATGGCTGATGATGTAACTTATTTTTCCTAGATATGTCACCTGTTTTAACGAAACATTTATATATTTACGCGATCTAACCCCCCAAAAAAACCTCTATTATGGATTTTTCACCTGTTTGGAGTTTTATGTATATGTAGGCTCACTGGAACAGAGACTGTTGGCGAGCACCTATTAAGGCGGCCTACACGACCAAGCGTTGGTGTCGCCAGAAAACCAACTCGCGTTTCTGTTGCGATGGGATTTTCTCGTTTTTGACAGATTTGAGTTATACACAACAACAACAACAGCAGCAGCAACCACTCGCGTCTGTATTGCTCCGCTCACCTGTCAAACGCCTCAGCGCAGTTTTGTTAAACTTAAGGAACCCCCCCACCCTGATGACAGTTGTCCACAAACAATCACACCACCTCCGATCGGCACGTTCGGCGAAGTACGGTGCTAAAGAAGTCCAAATTACACTCATGCATAAGACACACGCACCGCATTCACAGTAGACTATCAGATGCACCGTGACGCAAAGACGACAAAGACCCCACCCCATAGAGCAGGGGTGGGGAACGTCCGGCCTGCGGTGAGGCCCTGCCAAGGCAACCGCAGGCGGGACTCGAAATTCAATAGTTGTGGGGGTGGAGTGTCCGATGGTACAAAATACCCAGGAAGGTGCTTAGTTTTGGTGGGGCTGATGGTAAGGCCCCACCTCTTAGTGGCATGCTTCAGGTTCAGCAGCAGCGCCTCCAACTCCTCCTCTGAGTGAGCAACAATTACCAGATCATCGGTATACATAACGTGGTTTACCAATAGGGAGCCATCCCTTGACCGCACCCGGGCATCGATCAGCCTCTCATTCTATCTGTACCAGATGGAAATTCCTCTGGTACAGCCATCGAAGGCTTCATGAACTACGTGATCAAAAAATATGTTAAATAATGTGGGAGCCAGAGGTAATCACTATCGCACTCCAAGATGAAAGGGAATTGCTCTGACTCCCAGTCACGTAGTTTTACCCGGGCCCACTCACCATCATGGAGGTCCTTAATGATCGTGAGCAGAGGGTCAATGACTCTGAAAGCACGAAGAATAACCCAGAGCCCAGGCCTACTGATGGTATCATAGGCCTTGACCAGGTCAATAATGCAGAGATGTAGGTCTTGTTGGAATTCCCTGCACCTCTGCTGTAGCAGACGGACAGAAAGTATGGCATCTATGTATGACCGCCCTTTCCTGAAACCGCATTGGGGCTCTGCAAGCCTCTCCTCAGCGTGCCTGGCAAGGCGATGTTGAATAATCCTTGCCAGGACCTTTCCCGGCACACTGAGGAGTGAGATGCCCCTGTAGTTGTTACAGTCTGTGCGGTCCCCCTTCTTAAAGAGGGGGACCACCGGGGCATTCTTCCAATCCTGCGGAACCCATCCAGTGGTCCAGACTGTTGTTAGGATGTTATGTAGGGCAGTCTGTGCACAAACGCCACCCTCCCTCAGCATTTCGCTTGGAAGATCATCTCTGCCCGGTGCCTTTCCAGGTCTCAGACTCTGAAACGCCTTCAGTACTTCCTCAGCAGATGGCACCTCAGCCAGCCACTCACAGGTGGTGACTTCTTATTCCAACATTTGAGACACCCCAGCCTCAGCAGGTTCATCCCCACTTTGTCCCACGATGTTTTCCAGGCTGAGGGATTTCCCCTCCCCCAGGACCTCACAGAAATGCTCAGCAAATCTGTAAGTCTGTTCCTGGGGTCGGAGATTGGATCACCGTACTTTCCCCTAATGATGGTAATAGGTGTGGCGCTGCAGGTTACTTTTTGATGGAGTTAAATAGCAATTTGTGATCGTGGGCCATTGAGGCAGACTCCATCTCCTCAGCAACCCGTGACCACCACCCATCCATGCAGCGCCTCACGGCTCTCCGAACCTCCGAGTGAAGGCTGCAGTAAGTCTCCTCGTTCTCTAATGTGGAATGCTGTAGACGATGAAAGTGGACCTGTCACTTTTTCTCAGAGGGCCTGAACACCTCTGTCAGCCAGGGTCTCTGGGGAGGTCTGTACCATGTACCCAAAGCAGCCATTGCAGCTGCATGAGCCACAGCCCTAAACCTCGCCCATTTCCCCTCGACATCTGAAGGAGTGGGAGACAATTCCAACCTCAGCCGCAAGCGATGATGAAATTCTCGCTTGCAACTTTCATCAGCTAGCTGAGACCAGGCCACTAAGGGGGTGAATGGGGTCCTGGGTGTACACCCACCACCGGAGTGGACGAATGGCAGGCGCATCTTACAGATGACAAGTCGATGGTCAGTGGGCAGATCAGCTCCACGGTAGGTCCTGGTGTCAAGGACATTGGCCCGCATCCGCTGTTCCGTCACTACGTATTCCAGCAGATGTTCTTGCTTGGACCCGGCATGCATCCATAATGTTGTGTGGATGCGCCGATGCCAGAACAGCGTGTTGGTAATTACAAGCCCATGGGCTGCACAAAAATCTAGCAGCATCCTGCCATTGTTATTGAGCAATCTCAATATATTCACGCGATCCAAACCCCCCAAAAACCTCTATTATTGATGATATTGGTCGCGAAAGCCTACGTGTTAAACCAGCTATGAAGCTCTGTTTATTCAGCATGAAGCGAAGGGTCCCTCGGTGTCCCGGCCCTGCCCCTGTGCCCACGCAGGCCTTGTGGCGTGCCACGTGATGCGCGTGTGTGGAGGAGCAGAAGGGTAAGAGCGCGCTATCAAACCGGCCACCCGAGTTCGATTCCGGCTCACGGCCTGGGCCTCCCTACGTGGACTCCGTCTCAGATGAGTACCTGGTGCGGTGTGTCAACAACATCGCCTCTGGGGAGACAGAGGGGTGTTCAGGCAAAGGTGCTGGCAACCCACCCACTCGTGTGCTACGAGTGTGGGCCTGCATAGGTGCTCGCTAACTGCCCTTGCCCCAACAAGTGCTGTTAAGGCTGCGATGGATGGGGAAAGGGAGCGGTAGCGCAGCGCCTGGCGACCCGAGTTCAACTCCCGCTCACGGCCAACACCGACAAATGATTAACCTGAACCTAGGACGACTCAGGCGTCAGATGAGCACCTGGTGCTGTGCGTAAGAGACATCGCCACTGGGGAGACAAAGGCGGTCGGGCGAGGTGCTCGCAAAACCCCACTCCCATCGTGTGCCACAGTTTCCGGCCTTCAGTGGTGCTCGCGACTCGCCACTAACAGCACTTGCCCCAAAAGTCTATTTCGGCTACACGGGGGATATTTGATGGATGGGGGGCGAGGAGGGGGCGGGAGGGGGGGGGGTAGAGAGGGATGGGGGGGGGCAGAGGTGGGGGGAGGGGATTAAATCTCTATAAGCAACGCTCTCTCTTTCCGCTTCAAGTCACAGCTGCCAAGCGAACAAGGGGGGGGGGGGGGTGGCAAGAAAAGATAAATGCAGTTGGGGGCTACGCGAGGGGTGGGTAGAGGGAGGGAGTAGGGGGGGTGTAATTTGGGGTGTGGGGGTGGGGTAGGTAGGGGGTAGTGTTAGAGAAGTGGCTGGGCGAAGAGAGGGGAGGGGGGGTGGTAGTGAGAGAGAGACTGAGAGAGAATTGAAGTGTTGTGAGAGAGGAGATAGGAGGTGGGGGAGAGTTTGGCCAGAGGAGAGAGAGAGCGAATCTCATTTGCATTACAAATTTGACCTCCCCTGGGAAGAGGTCGCGGAGAGGCGCGTGGTGGCTCCTACGACGGAAAAGGCTCGTCCCGCACATCTCTGCGTCCCGTTCACTCTCACGCGGGGAGAAGGAAGGAAGGGAGGCAGCAGGAGGAGCAGCAGGAGGAGGGCTCGCAGCAGAGAGAGTGAGAGGCAGGCGCGACTCACTCGCAGCACCAAAGTTAGCTCTGCAAGCACCACCACCACCACGAGGAGGGATCGCCGGAGCAGCCAGAGCGAACTCAGTGGCAGGTGAGCGACACGCTCATGCCACGACGCGCGCTCTCTCATTGTTTGCGTGTGTCGTGTTTGTTGTTTATTGTTTATTGTTGTTTGTTGTTGTTGTTGGGTGATCCCGCCTGCCACGGTGGCTGGGAGGTGTTAACTACCTCGCCTGGTAAACAGGAGGGTCATGGGTTTGAGCCCTGCCCTGACGCCTGCTGCTGTATATTTGGAGTTGGCGTGTCTCTCTCTGTTTCTCTCCCCGTGGTTGCGTGGATTTTTTTCTCCAGGTCCTCCGGTTTTGGTAGTAAACATCTCGCCACGTTGGCGAGATGTTAACTACCTCGCCTGGGAAACACGAGGTCGTGGGTTTGATCCCAACCTTGACGTCTGTATGTTTGGAGTTTGCATGTCTCTCTCCCCGTGGTCACGTGGATTTTTCTCCGGGTTCTCCGGTTTTTTCTCTTCACATTTAGAATTAACATCACGCATTTATTTGGCTGCCTCCACATTTCCACGTGATACGCCACTTAGTCGGGCTATCATTTGCGGCCAGGTCTCTACTGAAAAAGAGCTACATAGCTCAGTTAACCTTACCTGGTAAAATACAAAGTTATTAATAAAAATAAAATATCCAGAAATTTGGGGGAATTGAATCTTTGGCAATTTGATGGGTCTATCGTTAGCTGTAAGAGAGGCGGTCGATGCATCGATTAATCGTTAGACTACCCAGTGGGGGGTCCAGAAGGGGGAGAGGGGCGGGGTAGGGGGCATTGGGGGGGATGACCCCCCCCCCAATGCCCCCTAGCCTTGAAACCCACCAAAATGTGCACAATACATCATTGGCATTTACTCGAGAATACACATTGAATGTTTTAATGTGTTATGAATGTAGGCCCCTATTTAAAAACGTGACATGTCCAGACAGCTCTCCCTCCCACTGCCCTCCTTGGGGAGTCTCGATCCGTTACACCCCACACGGCCACCCCGACTCGGTACCAGTGGCGACGAGCTGACACGAACTCACGAACTCACGCGTGCGCCGGGGGCCATCACGAACTCCGCTACCAAACTCTGGCTACTGGAATAAACATTGCAGCAGTCATCAGCCGTTTCTCTATCCACTGCTGGATGAATAATGGGGGGTTTCTCTGCTCTCTCTTTCTCTCTCTGTCTTTCTCTGTGTCTCTCTGTCTCTGTCTCTATCTCTCTCTGTCTCTGTGGTTATCTCTGTCTCTTTCTCTCTGTCTCTCTCTCTCTGTGTCTATGTTTGTCTCTCTGTCTGTCTCTCTCTCTATCTTTCTCTCGCACGCCTGGCCTCGTCTTTCATTGCGCCACGGCTGCGTGCCAAGCTGCTTTCCAGTTAACATCGCGCAGTCGTGGCGAGATGTTAACGACCTCACCTGGTATACAGGAGGTCGTGGGTTCGATTCCGGCCCTGACGCCTGCTGTATATTTAGTCTGCATCTTCTCTCTCCCCGTGGTCGCGTGGATTTTTCTCCGGGTCCACCGGTTTTTCCCTCCAGATTTAGAAACATCAACAATTTGGCTGCTATAAAATGTCCACGTGGTGAGTCACTTCGTTGGGCTATCATTTGTGATAGCCAGGTCGCTTCTGAAAAAAAAACCTATACAGCTCAGCGGGTCTTTACCTGGTAAAGTAAAATAAAAATAGTCGTTTAGCTTTCAGTTTAACGTGTAGGCTTTCGCGACCAATATCATCCATAATATATATTTAATTTGGGTTAGATCACGTGAATATAAATGTGTCGTTAAACCCGCCACCACCCGACTAAGCCGATGAGTAAGGTTTGTCACGTAAACAGATCATGCCAATTCGTTACGAGCACAACACACCGTTTGTGTGTTGGAAATTAAATTCACAAAATTTATAATCTGAGAGCAAATTCACAAAATTTACAATCTCAGATGTTGTGAATTGGTTCTCCAACACACCGGTGTGCTGTCCTAGTGACGAATTGGCACATCCTGTTTACGTGACAACCCTTACTAGTTGGCTGTGTCGGGTGATGGCGGGTTTTGATGACACATTTATATATTTCCGCCATTTAACCCCCCCCCCCCCCCCCAAAAACCTCTATTATGTACGTTTAGTTTTCGTTGATTTCATCGCTCCGTCTCCACGGGGAACGTCATCTCTCTCCCCGTGCGCCGTCGGGCTCCTCCGCTGTTGGCGCAGCGTCCTCGCGCTCTCTCGTCACGGGCGCAGCAGCCCGAGGCAATTCAGCGAACTCGGTCCACAACGCCGCGGGCCTTGAAAATGAAGGGGAAATAAAAAAAAAATATCCTGCAATACCCCGGTTTAGGTCGGGGATGCGTTCCCCCGCACCCCCCCCCCCCGAGCGGATGCGCGGCGCAATTGTGGCGAGGGGGGGGGACGAATCCCCCCCCCTCGCGCCCCCAGGCCCCCCGCACCCCCCCCTGCACCCCCCCCCTCGCGCCCCCCAGCCCCCCCGCACCCCCCCTGCACCCCCCCTCGCGCCCCCAGCCCCCCCCCGCACCCCCCCTGCACCCCCCCGCGACCCCCCAGTCCCCCATCACCCCCCCCCATTCCCTGCGTAATGTACGGGGTTGTGGTTATGTTTTGTTTTATATCTTCCCGTGGGCTCAAGTTACAAGGCAACGCCGTGTTGCCGCTGGATACAGAGCTACTGACGCCGTGTTGATGTTAGGAGGGGGGGGGTTGACCATACTTTACCACGGGATGATGGAGTGCGGTCGCAGAGGAGGCGGGGAAGGGGGGCTAGACCCAGGGCGCACTCACTCAACCACCGATGCGTAACCTTCGCCTGGAATCGAACTCCGAGTTTGCGGGCTTCGTCGCCTCGGTGCGCTCACCGTTGCGCCACCGCTCCAACGCACTCGTTGACGTCGCGGCCTCCGATTACGTAGCACGGTCGGCTGCGTATGGCGCGAAAGAAGTTCAGCGCACGGGCACCGACACGATCGGCCAAGCGCCCGAGGCGCAGGGACCTCGTGACTCGAGGGTCCGGCACTCGGTGTCGTCCGTCAACCAACGCGAGCCGCGGAGCGCCTGAGACGTCGCCCAGCGCCTCTGTGGCCCCCCTTTTTGAAAGGAGAAGAATGAGGAAAGGAAGCACCCCCCCCCCCCCCCATCAGCATCAGCGGCAGCTCGTGAAGAAGCGCGCTCTGGCTCGCCCCATTGTCCCCTCGCTGGCAGGCGCTCACTGCCGCCATTGTGCCGTCACCGGCACGCAGCCCACGCACCCTGGCTGGCTGCTGATACTACTAATGTCGCTGATACTACTAATGCTGCTGATACTACTAATGTCGCTGATACTGCTAATGCTGCTGATGCTACTAATGTCGTTGATACTGCTAGTGCTGCTGATACTACTAATGTTGCTGATACTACTGGCGGTGCTGATACTACTAGTGTCGCTGATACTACTAATGTTGCTGATACTACTAGTGTCGCTGATACTACTAGTGCTGCTGATACTACTAGTGTCGCTGATACTACTAGTGCTGCTGATACTACTAGTGCTGCTGATACTACTAGTGTTGCTGATACTACTGGCGGTGCTGATACTACTAGTGTCGCTGATACTACTAGTGCTGCTGATACTACTAGTGTCGCTGATACTACTAGTGCTGCTGATACTACTAGTGTCGCTGATACTACTAGTGTCGCTGATACTACTAGTGCTGCTGATACTACTAGTGTCGCTGATACTACTAGTGCTGCTGATACTACTAGTGCTGCTGATACTACTAGTGCTGCTGATACTACTAGTGTTGCTGATACTACTAGTGCTGCTGATACTACTAGTGCTGCTGATACTACTAGTGCTGCTGATACTACTAGTGTCGCTGATACTACTAGTGCTGCTGATACTACTAGTGTCGCTGATACTACTAGTGCTGCTGATACTACTAGTGTCGCTGATACTACTAGTGCTGCTGATACTACTAGTGCTGCTGATACTACTAGTGTCGCTGATACTACTAGTGCTGCTGATACTACTAGTGTCGCTGATACTACTAGTGTCGCTGATACTACTAGTGCTGCTGATACTACTAGTGTCGCTGATACTACTAGTGTCGCTGATACTACTAGTGCTGCTGATACTACTAGTGCCGCTGATACTACTAGTGTCGCTGATACTACTAGTGCTGCTGATACTACTAGTGTCGCTGATACTACTAGTGCTGCTGATACTACTAGTGTCGCTGATACTACTAGTGCTGCTGATACTACTAGTGTCGCTGATACTACTAGTGTCGCTGATACTACTAGTGTCGCTGATACTACTAGTGCTGCTGATACTACTAGTGCTGCTGATACTACTAGTGCTGCTGATACTACTAGTGTCGCTGATACTACTGGCGATGCTGATACTACTAGTGCTGCTGATACTACTAGTGCTGCTGATACTACTAGTGTCGCTGATACTACTAGTGCTGCTGATACTACTAGTGTCGCTGATACTACTAGTGCTGCTGATACTACTAGTGCTGCTGATACTACTAATGTTGCTGATACTACTAGTGCTGCTGATACTACTAGTGTCGCTGATACTACTAGTGCTGCTGATACTACTAGTGCTGCTGATACTACTAGTGTCGCTGATACTACTTGTGTCGCTGATACTACTAGTGTCGCTGATACTACTAGTGCTGCTGATACTACTAGTGCTGCTGATACTACTAGTGCTGCTGATACTACTAGTGTCGCTGATACTACTGGCGGTGCTGATACTACTAGTGCTGCTGATACTACTAGTGCTGCTGATACTACTAGTGTCGCTGATACTACTAGTGCTGCTGATACTACTAGTGTCACTGATACTACTAGTGCTGCTGATACTACTAGTGCTGCTGATACTACTAATGTTGCTGATACTACTAGTGCTGCTGATACTACTAGTGTCGCTGATACTACTAGTGCTGCTGATACTACTAGTGTTGCTGATACTACTAGTGTCGCTGATACTACTAGTGCTGCTGATACTACTAGTGTCGCTGATACTACTAGTGCTGCTGAT